GATAGAGCGAAGCTGGGGAAGTCGAAGCGCGAAGTGGCGAGGGTTCACTGTATTCGTTTACTTACCCTCATAGATTAGAATGTCCTGGATTATTATGGCTACTGGTGTATGTATTTGAAAACGTTCATATTGAAAGTTAAAATATTCCTGCCAAGGGGGAAAAAAGTCCAGAATTGCCGCCAGACACAATCATATTCTCCCGCGTGCTGCCCTTCACTCTGATGCTCCAGGTATGCCCCACTTTTGAAAGCAGGTGTATCTCCTCACAGCTCATGTGCATAGCCCTGCCCTGCCATAGGGCAGCAGTTCTGTTTTTCCTTCCAGAGAAACGGCACACCCCACAGTGAGCTTTCAGTAAAATATCAGCATGAGTTCAGAACTGGCTGATGGCTCTTTGGTGTGTGGCAGTGGAACGTGTCTTGGGCTCAGTGGGAATCAGCATGTGCCTCTTTTGTTGTTTTCCAGATCCTCGTTCACCTGGGACTCCTGACCAAGGAATCTGGATTTAAGATCGCAGAGACGGCTTTCAGCGGCGGGCCTCTCGGTGAACTAGTTCAATGGAGCGATTTAATTACATCTCTGTACTTACTGGGCCATGACATTAGGATTTCAGCTTCACTGGCGGAGCTCAAGGAGTAAGGAGATTACTTTTCAATTTTAAAATCAGAACACAAAAACGAAACCGTAAACTCTTAAAATCCTCTATTAGTGTGCAGTTTCTTCGGGGAGGAGGGGGCGAAGTGATAATTCACTAAACAGGAGATAAAAAGATGATTTTCAGGAGCTAAATACATACACCGTGAAAAGGATAATATGTTTTCATTGTAGCGGCAGGCTCCAGAGGCCTCATAAATGAATGCCGGAAAATTCAAACTAAGGAGCTTATTCTTTGCTATTACAGGTGCTTCCAACATCTGCAGCATAAAACATTGTTGACTTTCCTAATTCCCTGTCTCTTGATGAAATTCATACCATTCCCCATGCAGCATCAAGCTTTATAAATCTTAAAACAGGGCAGGTTCCTGTTTATAATTTAATTTGGATGGAATGAATTTCCTGAAAGCCCTCATTCAATCCTTTTTCAATTAGACAACTTTCAACCATGAGTCTGTAAACGCCCCCTTCATTTACTACTTCACTGAAACTTTCTTCAAACTCTAGCCTCCTCTTAATCCCTTGTAGATGGAGACAGGTAAACAGGGACCCCTAGGTGTTCTTCACCCTATCTGAACCAGTACCCATACGGACTGCTCACCCCAATGGCCAAGGTTTTCATGGTACAATTCGGGGGGGATGTAAGAAGTTTGTTGGAGAATTCCATTATATTCTCCATTATATTCCAATTCCATTTTCCTATGGGCTTTTGAAAAAATGGGAAATGTTTTCAGCAACAATACTCTGAATGAGCATCTCGAAAGGATGCTAAAACAATGCCTGTGTGCCCCTGTGCCTGCTGTATTGTCCCGGACATTCATGCCCTGAGAGGTCGCTTGTGTTAGGGCCAAGGTCTACACCTCGTTAGTGATAGTGTTAAGGTGAAAGCAAAGTATCAATAAGACCAAACTCAGCTCTCGTTTGTCCGATGATTTCCGTACACCAGCTGCTGTAATTAAGGCTTGAATATTAAATAGTAGTATCTGCAGTTATGACAGCCATCATTTGATGATAACTATATGCAGCTATTTGTTGCGCACTCAATGTGCACCAGATAGTAAACATTGTACATATTCTATCTGCTCAGTCCTTAAGCCCAGGAATAGTTGTTGTTATTACCTGAATGTTAAAGATGAGGAAACAGACTAAACAACAAAGGTGAATTAATAGCTCAGTGTCACGTGGGTAGTCCACAGGAGCCAGGCCTAGAACGCTGTGTCTGTCTGACATCAAGGCCTGTGATTTTAACTGCATTGGCCAGTTTCAGGTGTGGATAAACTTGAGGTCCCCTGAACCCTTAATCACCACTATTGACTTTTATCATGCTGCTTATTGTTGCCTCCCTCGTGCTTGTTTTAAAGCACGTAGGTATAGAAATTATAAACTGGATTCATGTTGAACATTTAGCAACTACTTTTTCCCTGTTTTCTATGGGTTGACCCTTGCTAGGGTGTATGCAGAGATGGCCTGATGAGCAAATTGCTGCTGATTTCGGATAATTGTGGTCCAATTTGATAAATACAGATTGAGGGCTGGGTGCCCAAGCTGGGTGGACATGATTCACTGTATTTGGCGCCTAAAATAATGCCTGGCCAATATGTGTTCATCAGTCAATTCAGTGAGGGCATACAGACGTGAAAGAATGAGGGTGTGGTGAGCAAACGGAGTACGGGGCAGAGTTGAGGAAGCGCCGGGAAGAATATAAGTTCTCCCTGATGGGGACAGGAGGGACCTGTAGGGGTTTAAATCAGGCAGACAATCCTGTGAGTGAAAAGAACCCCATCAAGTTTTTAAGCATGCTGCCGTTGGGGCCAGGTGCCGTTTTTTAAAGAAGATACTTAGGAAGTAGCATACAGCAGTAGTTCCCAAATCTGCCAGCATAGGGTTACCTGGGATTTGTTTGTTTCAATTCCTAAGCTCAGGATAATTGATCCGCAGCTTTTGGGAATGGGACAGAAGTCTTTTTGGAGTTCCTAGGTGACTGCACACAGACAGAAGAGCCATTGTATGATGGTTTAGAGGCAGGGAAGATCTGGGTCAGGGTTGAATCCTTTCACCATACTTACCTGTATGTTGAACAAGTAAACTGTGAGGCTGGACTAAATGGAGGAGAACACAGCTTCCAGATTGAAGGGTGCTCATTAACAACTTGACGTAGGAAGGTGACACAACCTTGCTTGCTGTAGAGCAAGAGGACTTGAAGCACTTACCAATGAAATTCAAAGATGACGGCCTACAGGATGGGTTATATCTACCATAGGTGGAAATAAAGCAAAAATCTTCATGAAAAGATTGAGGTCGTTAAGGATTTCATTTTGCTTGAATCCACAATCAGTGCTCATGGAAGCAACAGTCAAAAAGATCAAATGACACATTGCACTGGGCAAATCTCCTGCACAAGGTCTCTT